TGAAGGAATGATCTGGAGCACCGAAGGTGTTCCCATTCAAGGGCTTACCGGTGGCGGTGGGTTTTTGGTCTTGAAACGCAAATTGATTTGGCGGTCAAGATTTTAATCTTCGCTAACTTAGGAGGTGACTCCCGCCGAGTTGAATACATCCTCACGCGTCAATCGAAGGGCGGTGAGAAATTCGAATTCTATCTTGAGATGGCTTGCAATGGTAATCTCGGAATCTTATTCGATACATTCCGTTTGTTACGCGATTCGCTAATCACAATGCATCATAGATTTGTTTGGCAATGGATCCAATGGGGTAATCAATCCCCCGGATCCGAACAGATATTACACCCTTAAGAAAGTTGAATTGGCTGTTCCAAACCATAGAGCTTTTAAATTATTTCACGACTTTGAAATCATTCTCGAGATGGCTAAAACCATTCCACATGATACGATGAGATCGACCCAAGCTCTTCACACCGCGAATGGTATCGTTAACGTTTATCGTTCCGATGATGAAAATTCCATTGATGAGGCACTCGAGATTTCTCGTGAGTTTTTAAGTCACAAAAATGGCAGCAGCACGCAGCTTAGGATGACGGCCATTGGAAACTGTCACATCGATACGGCTTGGTTATGGTGTGTGTGAAATAGATAAATACGTGAATTTGGATAGTATGGTGATCAATATAATCAGATTGTCCTCTACACCTTAGGCCATTTGATGAGACTAAGAGAAAGGTGGCAAGAAGCTGGTCGACACAGGTTGGACTAATGGAGATCTACCCGGAATACAAGTTCGCTTGCTCTCAAGCACAACAGTTTGAATGGTTAGAAACTTATTATCCTGAGCTATTCAAAAAAATCCAAAAGAAATCTGCAGATGGTCAATTCTTACCTATAGGTGGGGTAAGTGACGTCGGTCGGTCGGTTGGTTGGTTGGTTCTGTCTCTGTTGAGAGCGTCATCTAATGCATTGGACATTTGTTTTCTTAGACTTGGGTCGAGATGGATTGTAACATCCCCAGCGGAGAGTCATTTTGTCGACAATTTTTATTCGGGTAATGAATCCGGCTTGCTTTTGTTTCGATTTGTTCTAGGCAGATTTGCTTACGGAAAAGTCACGTTTGATAGGCAACGTTACTTCGAAAAGAATTTTGGTCATAGATGCAAAGTATTCTGGCTCCCAGATACTTTTGGGTATTCTGCCCAATTGCCACAGATTATCAGGGGTGCCGGCTTGAAGTACTTTTTCACACAAAAACTCTCGTGGAATAACATTAACTCGGTACGCTCACGTGATATTTTACTTTGCGACCGATGGTTTATTAAGCTTCTTTTTTACTAAATCTTTCTTTTAAAGTTCCCGAACACCACCTTTTATTGGATCGGGCTCGACGGCAGCAAGGTAATGTTTATTGACCTCACCTTATCGCCGTCATATCAAAATATCTAAAAGCTTTTTTTTATTATACAGGTCTTGACGCATATGTGTCCCGCCGAAACGTGAACATCCATTTTTCTGCTTGATATGATGAATGAATGATTTTTGCATCGTTGAATTAAATATCATCCATACTTCGATTACTTGAACAGATACGTGGCCCAATGTAGACCCGGAGAGCTCGTCCGCAGCGTCCAAAATCACAAAGACAAGGAATTCAGTGACGAAGCTCTGCTTCTATTTGGTAATGGAGATGGCGGCGGCGGACCACTTGCATCAATGCTCGAACGGCTTCATCGATTGAAAGACATTGTAATCAATTGCTCTCCAATTCCGTTTGGTGTTTTCTGACCTATCCACGTAATCCAAATCCAAATTTTTAATTGGAATTATAGGACGGTCTTCCAAAAGTTGAAATTGGTTCGGTCGATGATTTTTATGAGAGGGTTGAGAGAAATTCCTCCGAGCTAGTCTCCTGGAAGGGTGAACTTGTGTGTATTTTAATGAATCACTTCTTTATTTCTTCACTTGTACTAATCTTGGAAATTTCAAACGTGTTAGTATTTCGAGCTTCACAGAGGCACATACACATCGCATGGAAAGATCAAACGGTATAATCGAAAGTCCGAGTTGCTGCTGCGAGATGTAGAATTGTTGTCAACCTTTGCTTTTCAAAGTGACCAAAAAAATTGCGAGTCAGTGAGATTATCCCTACTTGTCATCCGATCCGTCGATCATGTTAGATCTAACTTGGCTCGATTTTTTTTCATATAGTTATCCAAAGGATACGCTGGATGGTTTATGGAAATATGTTTTATTGTCAGCACTGATTTTTTTGCCCGTCGTGATTTGCGCAAGGCCTTCTTTGGTTAACATCATTCATTTTCCGACAGAAATCAATTCCACGATGTTTTACCGGGCTCTTCCATTGAAATGGTTTATGTCGATGCATCCAAGGTGAAGAGAAAAAAACAAATGATTTTTCGATTCGAAATTTGCTTATTTTTTGAATTGTGAACTGACTTCAAAATTTGACTACTTTATGCCTCAGTTTTACGAAGAGGTTGAAAGGAAAGGTATGAATGAATGAATGATTAATATGATAGCTTGCGATACGAGGTAATTGGAAAATATCATGGAATCATGGTAATCGTATGTTTCTCTCAGGTATTGAACTTCGAGAAAGGGCTCTTGAAAAATTATTCAAATCATCCGCATCTTCTCCGGACACCGAGGAAGGTTCGTCATTTATTACGGAGTCGACATATTTTTTATTTGCACTTGCTTAAATATACATTCGAATATCTTGACAGGGTTACTTGTTTTCAATACGCTCGGGTGGGATAGGACGGAGGTTGTTGAAGTTCCGGCTTCTTCCGGATTGGGTTCCTTTACTCAATACGCCGTGGATAAAAAGTCCGGTTATGTCCTTGGTAAACATTTATTTATCAAGCATTTGTTACTACATGCGTGATTGTATTACTCATTCCCCTGGGTTACAGCTAAGGATACTGTTAGCTTGGGCATTCAAAGCATAGACGTTGGAACAAGCGATATCGGTGATATCTCTCCTGCAACTGGTGAGATTTGTTGATCCTCTTTAGAAACACGCTTTTCACTGTGAGATGTATACTAAATCTACATTGTTGGTTGACTTAGTTACCTCGGTGAGGGATGATTTTCATTTCTTGGAGAACAAATTCGTCAAAGCTACTTTTGACAAGCACGGTCGTTTGACAAGTCTCATCGATAAAATAAAAGAGTATGTATTTGACCATTTCTGCAGAACTCGATTTTGTAACTGAATTTGTCTAATATATATATATATACACTATTCAGTCGAGAAATTGTTCCCCCTGGTCAATTTGGAAATGCATTCAAAATTTACGAAGACATTGTGAGTTATTAAATTTCACCCGCTTTCAATTATTTTGTATAATTATGTCTTTTTCTAAATACATCTCTTTCTTTGTTCGACACAGCCACTTTTCTGGGATGGTATGATTCAATTATATGGGTTTTTTTTTTCTTGTTTAAGGTCAATCCCACTTCTCTAATACTAATAGGATGAATTAATGCAGCTTGGGATGGTATGTACTAAGGTTTGAATTAATAGGTGCATTTTGAATCTTCCAGTGACATGTTTTCTCGAATTTCAGTGGAAATCTATCATCTCCAGAAAGGACGTGATGCTGGCCTCGGTGGAACAGTAAAGGTGAACTTTTTAATTCACATGTCCCGCATTTTTTTTATTTTTTTTTATGTGCTTGTTAAAAATCAAACCTCACCGATATCACGATTTAAGATTTATGATAATGGGCCACTTCGTGCTTCGTTGCTCCTGGAGACAAAGCTGAGCAAGACAAGTTCATTGCGCCAAATCATTTCTTTGTCAATTTTCTCTCAACGACTAGACTTTGAGACGGTGGTTAATTGGGATGAAAACCGACAATTTTTGGTAAGTTTAATTTGCTCTTTTAAATTCTCGTTATATCGTTGCTAATTTTATATATATATATATATATATACAGAAAGTGGAATTTCCATTTGACATTAATTGTGATTATGTAAGAATATATATGTGTGT